AAATTAGCTCTTTTTTTTTTTTTTTTTTTTTTCCCAAAGTGTGGAATACGAAGTTGGGGCTAATTTGGGGGAGAGCAGGGCCCTTTGCCATGCAGTGCAGTATTGTGCTACAAACAGGGGGGTGCCTTTCCGCTGAGTTAGGGAGGTTTTTCCTTGGCGAATGCTTTCCCAAGCCCGACTTGGCGAGGATGAAGGAATAGGATCTGTTCCTCGTGCACAATTGTTCCATAGGGTGCTAATGACGATGGTGACAGCGGTGATAATTTTGTTTCTTTTTTTTCTACTACTCTCCGATTGTTGCACATTTCTCCACGTCAACATATCAGCGAAAAGTTTTTTTTCCCCCCATTTTGTGGAAACACTGGGAAAGGCACATCGGCTGCAAAGCGCTTCCTCTTACATATTTCGTGACCACACCTTCATCCACGCGACTGATTGGTGTGGAACGATTTGTGATTTGTATCCCTTGGAGAGAGGCCCACCTGTGCGTTTGTTCATCCTCCTCCTTTCTGGTTTGTTAACACTCCATTATGTGATTCCCCATTCGGTCCCCCAAAATGGAAACCAACAGGATGCTGTTTGTCCACCCCACCAGGGGGGTCATCAACGTTATATGTGTAGCACGAAGTGAACATGTTCGAGTAGCATAAGGAGGAAAAAAAAAAAAAACAATCATTAAATGATGCTAACATAACACCATAGAGGTGGTTACCCCTCGAGGGGATTGCCCTGTGTAAGGTCGACTTGTATCGAAATATACCACCACTCCTACGGGGTTGCGGGAGAGACAGAAATGCTCCACAATATGAAGCCAAAAAAGGCGCGCTGTAGAAAAAAGTCCAATCGCTTAAAAGCGTTTCCTTCGTGTCCACATAACGATTTGTGGCCGTTCCCCCCTCGACGTGTTAGTAACACCTACGTTTCTAAGTGGATACTCATGGGGTGAAATTCTGGAGGGACGCACAAAAAGGCACAAACGTTTCACGCATACGCTGTCGTGTAAAATAGGCGCAGGGGGGGAGGGAAATGTTTTTTTTTTTTTTTTTTTTTTCCGCGCGCAAAAGAAGCAATTTTTTTTAGTGTCCAAAAATGGATCTTCCGTTGGGTAAAAGCTTCAGCACTGCAAGTGTCTAACATTAAGACTCCTTCTGGGTACCTCTCCTGATAATATTTTCCTTTTTGTTTCATTTTTGTGGTAAATTTGGGTGGGCATTTTTCCCATTTTTGAAGGCCTCACGCCAGGGTAGAGGAGAGACACGAGAACATCGCGCGTCTTCCCCCCACCCCAAAAAAAAAGCGACATGACTGAATGCCACTCGGGGGGTTCTCCATGATGGTTAAACGAAATATCCCCTTTTCATTCGATTAATCATTAGTTCGCTGACTTCCTCCTCCGAGACTACTTTATCGTAGTGAAAAGAATGAAAGCCCCCGCGTTCAAACCTTTATGCGACGTTATTCGAATCAAAAAAAGGGAAGACGATGCAGCTGCAGCTGCAGGGAGTGAATTATACAAAGCCTTTTTAAATGCCGGAAAGAAAAACGAAGAGGAATTGAAAAACAAAAATGTAAAAATTGTGATTTACGAGCATGTGAAGTATGAAGAGGACAAGCAGCTGGGAAGGAGCAGTTCGGGCAGCGACTCGGATTCGGGCCATGGTTATGCCCTCTCACAGGGGGAAAGCAAAATCGATAAGAAAGGAAGAAAAAAAAAGGAGACCCAGGGGGAAGAAGATGGACAGGCAGGCCAGAGGGAGTCAACAAATGGTTATGAGGTTGGGGATGCAAGGGATAGGGGAGTCAAGGATAAAGGTAACCCCAAAGAGAGCGCAAAAGGGACAGCAAAAGAGACAGTAGCAGAGGCGAAGGCTCAAGGGAAGGACAAAACAAATCAACAGGGAGATTCAAATACACTTGGCGTGGAAGTGAAAAGGGGTACTCCGAACGGGGCAAAGCAAAATGGGGCAGAAGTACAGTACACAGAAAAGAAAGAAGTTACTCACAAGGTGGACGGAAAGGCTCAGCGACGTGGGAGCAACGAAGAGGAAGAGGGAGCAAACACCGCTTTGCCCCTGCACACCCAATTAAGTGATGTGGTGAAAGAGCGAAAATCTTCAAAAGTACTAGGGACAGTAAAAATTCTCTACAACTTCTACGTAAATTTATATGAAAAGTTAAAGGAGGATGTGGAGAATATTCAAAGTGGAGCTTCGAATAACAACATTGATTTGTTTCGTGATGTGAATTTGTACGCGAATTGCATTTCCATGTTTGACCTCATCAACCTGTGTGAGGATCTGAAAATAATAAAAACCTTTCTCAACTCGAAAAAGGAGTGCGAGCTGATATGGATACTCACGGTGAACTACCTAGACAAGGTCGACATTAACCTTTTTGAGCGATACAAGCATAAGATTGACGTAACGTATGGGATGAAGGACGTCCCGGGGGGGGTCAGCGGCACGCAGGGGATACATCCGCCAGGTGAGGCAGTCCCACTGAAAGTGATGACGGGACAGGGAGGAGAAAACGAAAAAATGGTGAACAACAAAAGCAGGACGCACATGCAGGAGGAAAGCGAAAAAAAAAAGGAAAAGACAGAAAAGGGGCATGTGGACCCCCCCATTGGGGAAGAGGAGGAGGAGCAGGAAGAAAAAGAAGCCAACGTGGGGGTTGATGCATCAGAACAATCGGGGAACCCTCCACGTGCAGGCCAAGAAGTGCAGAACTTAAAAGAGTATATATATGAAAAGTGTCATGAAAGAAAGAATGCCATCATGTTCAGAAGGGTGAATTTTTTTGTCTTCCTATACGTATTAATATATATAATAAAAACAAGTTCGCGCAAAATCAAGTCCCTCTCAGATGATATAAAAAAAGTCAGGAGCTTTTTCTTTTTCCTTAACTTGTATGAAAAAAAAAAAACAATCGAAACGTTAAAAAATATATACAAGGATAAGTACTTAACCTTTTTCCAAAATTTTAAGAGCAGGAAAGAAATTGAGGAATACAGAAGGAGGAAGATTTTTTGCCACAAATTTTCCTTTTACAATGTTAACAAAATTTTAAATCAAAAAGGTGCTGACTTGGTCAGGCTGAAGGAGGCGTCCACACGGGCGGGACAGAAGCAGCTTGCGGAGGGGCAGCAGGCAGGGGAAAAGAAGCAAATTGCGGAGGGGCAGCAGACAGGGGAAAAGAAGCAAGTTGCGGAGGGACAGCACACAGGCGAAAAGAAGCCACTTGAGGAAGGGAAGCAAATCGGGGACAGTAACACAGACGCGAGCAGCTACGACTTGACCAATTTTGTCGACACAGCTGAGCTAGACAGCGACTTCAACTCCACAAGCAACCCACACGACGAAACCAAAGAAGGGACATCCCCTCCCCTTCTGAGCACATATCTACTCGATTATATATTTAAAAATTACTGCTATAAAAAAAAGCACTGGAAAATGAAGGAAAACGCGTGGATCAACTTTGGCGTGGTTAGAAAGGGAGAAAACAAAAAATATAAAATGGAAATTTATAATCACACAAAGTTTAACATCACTGTGGACGTCCTCATCGATGATGACCTTCCCATGCTCGCCATTTTTAAGGACAAATTATTTTGCATCAGCTCCAAGTATTCTATATACCTCCAAATTGATAACAGCAAAGAGGGCGAGTGGTTTGGGTTCGTCAATATCGCTTTGAAGTACAAGAATGCCACTAAGGGCGATGACTCTGTGCGGATCCCTGTCTACGTCCACGTCTGTCCGTAGTTTGGGTTTAGCGTTCACCGTCCGCTGCAATGTGCGCTTCACGCCGTGTGTTAAACTTTAACTTTTTATATTTTACTTTTTTTTTTTTTTCGCGAGAGAGTTGGGGAAAGCCCCACGCGCGGTATGCCTTACTCTCAGGGGGAGTATCGTCTCCGCGCTGCACACTCGCGCAGAGGAGGGTGGATGTGCACGATTTCGCGTATCTTTTTGGCTTCTGCACCGAAAAGGATTTCTCCCCAGAGAGACTATAGTTCGATTCACCCTTTCGCTTCGCCACGCCTCTATATTTTTTTTTTTTTTTTTTTTTTTTTCCACCCCCTCTCTCATGTGCACACAATGCAAACTTGAAGAGCTCTTCGCGCGAATGCAATTTAGTTTGCAAATAAGTAATAAAAGGAGGTTTAAAAAGGAAAAATGCGAAAAGCCTGCGCAATGAAATATAGTGTCTACAGTTTGGTTCCTCCTCTGAAGAGCGCACATATATAGGGAGGACATGACCCCTTCCGCGGGCGCTGTGTATTGGTGACGTCGCTATGCATGTGAGTCTTGCAAAACCACTAACTACGCATGCCATTTGATAGGGTAACCGTGTGTATATCGTTCGATCCGTTACCCGCTTGTGCTGTCTAACACCACTCTGCTCTGTCCCCTGTAACCCCCCCAAGGCACGATGCCGGGGGAAGCGCAAAACAAGTGGGTCCTGGTGGATGTGGAGCCCAAATTTCTTGAGTTTTACTACGAGTGCGCAGACAGCGTGGAGACCTTCCTTGAGAACAAAACAAAAGTAATAAAAAGGAAGCGATTGAAAATAAAAAATATTTGTACGAAAACGCAGAACATAAATATATGCGAACCGGATTGTACGTATCTTAAAGTTAGAGGATTAAAAAAAAAAAAATTGGCTCCTGGAACGAGTGAACAAATTTTCATTGAGTTTTCCTTCGACGATGTGAATTTTAAAACGAGCAAAAATGGAAAGAAAAACGACCTCCTAGATGTAGTAAATAACGTGGAGTCCACTTCGTACATTAATATAAAGAGTGAATATACAACTCTGACCATCCCGGTCTATATAAAAAAAAGCATACCTGTGTTTTCTTACGATAACGTTATCAACTTTGGAGTTTGCAACGTCAATCGGACGTACCAGTTCGCACTGAGGGTGAAGAATGTGGGCAAGAGGAAGGGCGTGTTTGTTCTCTCCCTGGGCGAGTCGCCAGGGTCAAGTTCACAACCATGCACACAACCATGCGCAGAACTATGCGCGGATGATGAACCAGCGGAGTGTACGCAGAGCGGGGAACACTCAGGCAAATGCCCCGCTGAAGACATGATGGTTCGGTTTGATCAACATTCCCTCGACTTGGACGTGGGCGAAACGAAAACCATCAACATCACCGTGAGCAGTATAACGGAGGGAAAAATGCACAGGGAGTATAAAGTCATTTCGAATCAACATAGCTACTTCGTGGAGAAGCAGAGAAACATAAACCTCCTTGCTATCTTCACCAACAGCCATACGTCCTTCCTCTTCAACAATGAAAAAACGAATCTCGTGAATCTTCAATACGTGTATTATGGGAGTAAGAAAAAGTACCAGGGGAAAATAAAAAATGAAAACAACTACGGTATATTTTGCATCCCCAGAGTGGATGCCATCAATGTGTTTTACTCCAAGGAGGACCTTCAATCGTATGAGGTGGCCAAAGGGGTAGACCTGGGCCCGATATGCCACGGTAAACACCATGCGGCGGGGCACGGTTAGAGGACTAAATCCCTCATACACATGCACAAAAAATATGCTCACGATGTGTAATGGAGGACTTGCTTTTCTCCAGTTCAATGTGAACAGTGGGACACGCCTCTTTGCCCATCACCCTCCCATCGCAGATGTGTACCTTGAGGAGGAAGAACACTTAAGCGAAGGAGAGAAAAAGGAAAAGGAAAAACTGTTCGCCATCACGAAGAAGAGGCTAAAGGGAGAGGAAGACATTGGCGTCAATTTCTGCAAGGCGGAAGGATACCCAGTTGAAAGATTATCTTATGAAGCAGTCACATTTGAGATTCATTCTAAGTGTGACGTCGGCCTGTTGCACAGACTCAGCAGGGACACAGCCTACCTCCTCAACTTCCCTGTCGTGGTGGAGTTGTCGCTGCGGGTGGGGCGATCTCGCCAGGAAACCAGCCAGGCGCATCGCGCAGTTAAGCAATTTCACCGCTCCACGAAGCAGGCTCATCACACAACCAACCAACTTAACCGCTCATCAAAGCAGCCGCATGATGCAACCCTGGACACCGCTCACACGTTCGACGAAGAGGTTAAGGTGTACGTCGCAGTCTGCCTCACCTTCCCCTGCGTCCTCCCCAACACGTACCTTCTAAACTATAACAGCATAGCCCCCAACGAGGGAAAAACTCTCATCCTCGAGTTAAAAAACAGAAATAAATTTTTAAAGGTTAATTATACCCTTTCGAAGATACCCCATTTGACATTGAGCAAAAAGGACGGGATAATCCCCCCTCAAGGAAAAGCAGTCTTGTCTTTAAAACTTCAAAGTGATAGTATAACAATGGTGGATGAGTACCTGTACATATATTTTTGTAATAATTTATATTTCATTGTCCTTCTGATCAGGGGGAACATTACTTCTACCAACGCATTAAGGAAAGGGTCATCTTCCATCCTGCTTGACCCGAGAAGGGACTCATTTACAAGGAACACCCCACATGGTAAAAACAAACAGAACGATGACGATGTATACGAACGTATACTCAGCAACCTGGAACTCGAAAAGGTAGACAGGAATTTTTACCAACTGGATGGGGAGCTAGACAAATATAAGTATAATGAGAGGTTCATAAATTTTTTAAAAAAAAATAAAAAAAAGTACAATGATGTGTTGAGGCTCATGTATGAGGAGAGGAAGAAGTGTGAGCAGGAGTCCACTCGCAGTGGTGCCAAAATTGCCACCCAAATGGCGACCCAAATTGGGACCCGAAGCGGAGGCCCCCCTCACACAAGGGAACAGATCATGAAGGGCACAGACAGAATCTCCACAATTGTAAAGGACAAATTTATATACATGAATGATCCCCCAGTGGAGCGAATTTGCAACACATGCATTCAGAAGGCGGTCTACGAAAAGGAAAGGAAAAAATACATTCAAATGAAGACACAAAATTTGAAAATAAAAAATGGCCAACATGCACAAGGAGGGGAACAGCAACCCTACTTACTTCAATTTGATATTCTAGACGATGAAGAATTGAACAAAGTGCAATTCGGAAGGATCATCCATTTTGGTTATGTCTTTCTGGGAGTAAATTACACGAAAGAGTTTGTCGTCTTGAATCGCAATAAACACTGCAATGTAAAACTGGTCCTCACTCATAGTGATAACGTCACGACTGATGGGGGTGACCTTCTGGTAGTTGAAAGGGACTCTCACGAAATGAAAACTGTAAAGCTTAATATAAAACGGGATTACAAAGTGGAAGAAATGCATGAGAAGGGTAAAATGTATGACCATATTTGTTTTAATGATGGTGTTATTCGAAGTAAAGCTGGAGTTGCTTCTACTTCCTTTTTCGAGGGAGACAGTTTTTTAACCGGTGGACGTATTTGTACCCCCGATGGAGGACAAACACTCACAGCTCCATGTACCGATTCACACAACGACTTTTTCCTCCTCAAAATGTTTGAAGAGAAAATTTCGCTAACAATTAATGATTCGCATAAGAGAGAGGTGACTCTTGGGGCGACTCTTGTCTTTCTCAACGTCCTCGTCAACCCACGCACTCTCCACTTTCGCTTCCGTGATGAGGACGTCGACATGGTTTGTGAGCGCCACTTGGTTTTGTATAACCCGTTCAACGTCTCTCTGCGCGTGGGGATGGTCTGCAACCGGGCGCGCATTGCGTTGGACGCAGAGATCTTGGTAAGCGTGTGCTCAGGAGTCGCATCGTATGTGCCCCTTATCAACCGCCTCTCTCCTCAACTTACACCGCGTGTTTACATGTGGCCATTCCCCCCTTATTCATTCATGCTCACTTTAGGTACCCCCCAATTCTCACAAAATAGTCCCCGTCAATTTTATCGCCACGGAAAGTGCCACCAGCGTGGCTGAAACCATTTGGGTGTACCTGGACGGGAGCAGGCTCTACGAAAGGTGCGTTTCCGTGTGGGGGGTGAGCTGCCCCGCAGATGAGCTACCTCACAAACATATACGCCATTTCGAAAAAAATACACCGCCTCCCCCCTACACACACACTGTGCAGCATAAAATGCAAATGGATCCCCAACAAGTGCTCTTACAAAGTGACCCCCGCCGAGCTCAACTTTGAAAATGTCCTCGTAAACAAAAATTATGTGAAAGAGTTTTTCTTAATCAACACGGGTAAGGTTCAGCCACTTGCGTGAAGGTGTCTACTCGGCATTGCGTCTGCAGAGATATGAGAGACGCATCCTCGTTACACACAGATGTAGCTTTTTCCTTCTCTCATACGCGACCAACTTTTTTTGTCTGGCTGGATCTCACCGTCGATGGTACCTATATACTCCATCACCTTCCCCCCCTTCTACAGGAGACTCCCCAGTGGTGTTCCGATGCAGCTACAAACCCGATTGTGTCACTGTACTTTCCAAGTACAATTACGTGAACAAGAATGAGAGGGTCCAAATATCGGTGCTGCTCAATTTAAAGGAAGGCAAAAAAATAAAGGACAAAATTGTACTGGCCATTAGGGGGGCGTCTGAGTTTTCTCTCCCCGTCAGTGCCAAGGTGAGCTCAGTGAAAACTTCATACATTTGCAAAAGTACAGCTGTGTCTCCATGTGACGGAGATAAACCTTTTCCCATTTCATTACTTACAAGATTTATTTTGTCACTTTCGCATATATCCCCCCTTAACCGCAGGGCACCTCATCCAACGTCCTCATCTGTGAAGGTCTGCACATCGGGCAAAGAACAGGAGAGCTGAAATGTTACCAAGTTAAAATATTGAACAGAGGACCATGTGATGAAACCATCCTCCTAGACATATCATCTCTGCCCATCCTAAACATTCAAATGGGCCACAAAAAGGAAAGGACCTTCTCCTCTGAGTCTATTGGCAAAGAGTACAAAGATGCAAGTAAAATGGAAAATGTCGTAGCGGTGGAAACGATTTACAATGAAGAATACGATGACCTCCTAACAGATGAATGCGCTAAATATTATTATAATAATTTTTTGAAGCTCCACAATTTGATGTCTTCCTTGTACCAAAATAAAGGGCAAATTCTTTTTAAAGATAAAAGAGAAATAAAAAATATGTACAGAGTTCTGATCCCGTCCAAGTGCTTCCTCTCCTTGTGCATTCAATGCTACTCTTCTAAAACGATGAGGAAAGAAATTTCCTTCCAGAGTTTGCTCAACCGTAACAGAGTTGCATACGAAAAAGGGGAAGAGTTAATAAAAGTAGACATAGAGGAAGGGCACTTGGAAGTATCTCCTCCTTTTCTCTCCTTCACTGATTTGCTCCCACAGCAGGCGGACGAAATTTACATTTCATATTATTCGCGAGAGAAGACGAAGAGGTTGACGATTAGAAATGTGTTTAGTCAACCTGTGCAGTGGGCAATCCGGTTGGATGAGGAGAAGCGCAGGGAAGTCCACATGGTTAGACACGCACACAGGGGGGTGGTGCACATGGCTGAAGGGAAGGGAGGAGAGACGGGGAAGATGAAGAGAGTGTGGAGTGGAACCAAATCGCGCGAATCGGATGAACGCGCAGAGGAGCGCCAATATCAAGTGCACCCCAGCAGGGACAGGGGCATTCTGCAACCACAGGAAGAAACCACGGTGGACATAAAGTTAAGCGGCTTCAAAGTGTGCGGAAGGTATGTGGACGTGCTAGATATCTCTTCCTCCCTCTTGGGTTCCCACAATACAAGAAGCAAGGGTGGCAGACAGGATGGCGAAGAGGACACGACGCAAAAGGAAGACACAGAACAGCAGGTCGTCCATTTCTCCCTCTACATGCTCATACAGTGCGACACCCCGAAGCTTCAGTTCGACGTAGCCTACATCAACATAGTCCACAATAAACTAAACGATTATTGTTCCTTCTCCTTCAACATATACAGCCGTGGGTACAACTATGTTAGGGTAAATGCTCATTTAAATAACCTGCACCCAGAATGTTTCTCCATCTCCCTTGACTTTCTCAACGGAAATGAAATAAACGAACATGTGGAGCAGCTGCACATGTCGTTGAAGTGCAAAGCGTCCAGGTGTTTGAAGTTCAAGTCCCACATCGTCTTGAGCGTGATGGACCATGACGAGTACACCATTCCCCTCTTCGTGAGCATCGACGAGGGAGTCGACTTCCTGTTGGAGAGGGCGGCCAGGGAACAGTCAATCGCAGAGTCCATCGAACAGATCGGGGAAGAGGTCAGCGAAGAGGTCAACCAACCCCTGGACAATAGGACGGATGACTGCCCCCCTGATGGAGGGAACCCCACCGAAGGCATAACCATGGAGCGAAATATACATCATATGAACACAACAGATACTACATGTGACAAGCAAAACGAACTTTTCTCCTTCTTCTGCAAAAACGTGGAGGAGGAAACAAAAGGGGGAAGAAGCAATAACGGAAATGATATATACAAAGGACTCAAAATTAGTCAAATCAGAAATGTGTACTACAACAAGGAAGAGGGAATGTACCCACTGAAAGAAATTATTGGAGATTACCTGTTCGTGTTTGTGGAAAAAATTGTGTTACGCAAAAGTTACTTCCCCCACGTGATTGAAAGCACAAACGATGTATTTCTCTTCTTTGTGGACCTTCTATGCGACCTCTTTTCTTCCATCTATCAGAAGAGAACTCTGCAAAATATTATTGCCCAATTGAAGAAGCATAGAAGTGTGGTGGTGGGGAAGGATATGGAGCGACAAGACTTGTCGGATGAAGAGTTTACGAAAAATGTGAAGGCTCTTTGGACGTGCTTGAAGGAGGTACGCTTAGCAGTCCGCACTTTTTTTCGCCCGCCAATCAGTCCATTCCTTCTGGCCCCACCCAACGCCTCACTCCTCTACATGCCTCCCTTTTTATCACCTCACTTCCACAGGAATGCATCCCAGTAGAGCACATCATGTACGAAAATTTGTTGCCAGCTGATCTGTACCTGCCCTACGTGTTGGACAAAGTACCGGACTACTTCTACATTGAAGAAAAGGATGAGGAGAGCTATGGCGCGAGCACAGGACACCTCTCCATGCAAGACATCGAATCATTTTTGCTAAATGGAAATAAAAAGGTATTCTACGTTGAGCAAATTTTTAACACGCACGTAAGATTATTTAGTTACTCCTGGATCACCATTTTCCTGGAGATACTAAACAGGAAAATGTTTGGCGGAATCAACATCAGCTCGTTGATCAACCTGCGTGGGATTAAAATATACAACATAGAAAATAAGCTGAACGAAAATATAAAAATGTGTAAAATTAGCTACCTGGTAATACTAGATGCACAAGACATGGAGCTAAGCAAGCACGTCTCATTTTTAAATGACAAAAGAAGCAGATCCAGGAGAAAGGAGGCCAGTACCTTAAAAAAACTTCCACTCACTAGCGGTGGTGGTGCTACACTAAATGTGGTGAAGCCACCTCTGAATACGCGTGATCACGATCATAATGGTAATCTCAATAATAGGGATGACAACAACACCCCACAGAGAAGCGAAAAATATGTGCACAGTTATGTGAAGAAGAAGACGACCAAGGATAAATCCTCGTGTGCCATGAACTACTTTAATTTTTACGAAAATAATTTCATCGACTTGAAAAAAATTATCAACCAAATTAGAACTTTTTGCTACTCCGGGGGGGCGGAGGCGCATCCAAATGGGGAGCACGAACTGGAGAGCGCCGCCAAGGGGAATACAACCATCCGGGGGGCGGACATTTCAAGGGGAGAGGAAACGAACACACCTTTTAAGAAAGACTCGACCAAGGAGGGTGAGAACGTGGCCACAAAAGACGCCACAACAGACGCGCCAAACGGAATTCTCCACTTCAAAACCGCAGAGTGCATCCTTTTCGAGTGGCTCTATTTTCACTACAACAATGTGTACCACGCGAAGGTGGAAGATAAGCGGTACATGTTTAAGGAGGCCCGTGGGGGAGGCGACGATGAGTTGTCCTACACGAAGGGAGATCCGAATGGGGCGCCCAAAGGGGGCACGCAGGAGGAAGCGCACAGAAGAGAAAATCACAGCGCAAATGACAACTGCGTCCCAAGTCACTCCCACCATGTTAGTGCTTCAGAAGAGCTGGACCCAAGTCAGATACAGAAAAGTCCAAAGATGAGCAAAATCAATTTCGAGGTCAACATAAAAAAGGAAAAAAAGACAGTGGAAAAAAAGAAAAAAGCAAAAAGCATGCACGAATTGAAAGACCTAGTGATGATCCTGTACACCATCATTTCTCACATCCCCTATTACCTATTCTTTAAAAATAAAATTAAAGTGAAGTGCAAATCAAAAAAGGATTACAGGCAAAACATGGACGTTCTACTTTTAATACTCAGCGAAATGAAGTTGAGTAACCTAATCAGTAGAGGTGTGATCGTGCAGTTTAATTACATTCATATATATTTATTTTTGGCGTCCCTGTATTTTATTTTGCCCAGTTATTTGCCCAGCTACTACTTGGTCCTGGACGACTTGCCTGCGTACAAGGCTGACTTGGGCTTGATAAATGACGAGGTCGTGAACAGCCGGAAGAAGGGCAAAAGTCAGTCGATGGGTAGGGGGCAGCAGCCAACCAAGGGGAAGCAACCAACGAAGGGGCAGCTACCACCCCAAAGAAAAACCAACGCACGCGCCGATTGGGAGAACGAAAAAACGGCTTGCGGGGACCAGCAAAACACGGAAGACGAACGGGTCATAACTGTGTACAACTTAAATAACCACACATGTAAATATGAGGTATTTCTCATCGGCTGCAATAAATACCAAATCGATAGAAGCTACATAAACATTGACCCCCTGAAGTCGGAACAAATAAAATTGAAAATAGACAAGGGGTATGACGAAAAGGTGTTGAAGTATAGCTACCATACTAGCATTAAAATTTCAAATTTTAAGAAAAAAATACACACAGGGGATATTTGTGACGGCGAAGAAGCACACTTTGAGGACACTTGCTCCGTATCGTCTTGCTCCTCGGAAGAGTGCCAGTGCCCCTCCGACGGGTCCGACAAAGTGGACGCGGGGACTGACGGAGAGAGTCGAGTCAGCCCAGAGCAAAATTACTCCATTCTTGTGCTGCGGGCGGAAAGGTAAGTTGTTTTTTTTTTTTTTTTTTTTTCTGCACATTATAGCTAAAAAAAAAAAAAAAAAAAAATCCATTTTAGCTAGCTGCTACTAAGCGCCTCCATTTTTTGTGTCCATTTTGCTAGACTGATTGTCTACCTAATTTGACATAACACACACACAATCGCTGTGCCTCTATTTTGTACTTTGCCCTGCCCATTCCGTAGCAATCGCCTGCAAGACGAAAAGGACAGCGATAAATACATATGCATCAAACTTGTAGAAAGGGGCGAAAAGGGGAAGATCGAATTGATGCCCCCAGGCGCTAATTTAAGGGGGAAGCAAAATGAAGGAAATAACGTAAACGCTAACTTAAACAATGGAGAAACGAAGAGTGATGTTAACAAAATGCGAACAGCCAATTCATCTCAATTAAATATTATGCTAAATGATAGTGAAATAAAATGTTTTAATTTGAGGGGCAAAGTGTACGAAAGTAAGTGTATGGAATTGAATTTGTTCAATAACACAGGGAAGGAGGTCGAGGTAAATTCGAACCTGTATCACTTATACGTGAAGGATTTGAAGAAAGAAGAGAAAAAAGGAAAGGAAAATTTCGAAGCAGATGTAGTGAATAGGTGGGGTGATGACAATCTGGGGGTCCACAGCCAATGCGCTGTATGTTCCTTAGTTAATGCAAACTTGAAGAACCACTTGATGAGCACTCCGACTCATTTTAGCTGTTTCCATTTAGAGGACAAGACTTGCTTTAGTTTCCTCCAAAATGAAAAAAAAAAAATACAAGTGCAATTTTGCCCCTTTGCAGAAGGGACTTATTTCTGCTTCCTTTTATTCAATGTGAATGACAAAAAGACCAACTACGTCGTGTCGGCATGCAAAGTCAACTGCTCCTTTAATATAAATAATGTAAAGGAGGAAGAGATCATAAAAATGAACTCCACAATTTTTAGCTTTTCTATTCATTTAAAAGTTTGTCCTATAAATAAGGAGTTCCTCAAGTGTATAAAATTCATCCTTTGTAATTTGAACCATCTGAAGGAAAGCCATTTTTTGTCTTACTTAAAAAGTTACTTAGAGGATATACATAAAAGGAGGGGCCATTTTTTTGTCATGTGTGATAAGGAGGACAAAATGATCATTGAAAAAGGGTTCGCAACGTTTGGCCCCCTTGAATGCGATAAGTACTTACACAAAAGCCAGTATAATTCTGACGCAGTAGACATAGAGCAGTTATACGAACTGGTGAAGAAGGAGGTCAATTATACGTGCACTCTACGCATAACAGAGCAAAGTAAGGGAGTGTTCGAATACAATTGCGCTCTCGTAAGGGGGAATGTGTCTCCAAATAAAAGTCAGTTATCGTCCTATGAACAGATGAGAAAATCAGACATCAAGGATGTGAAGGAGATATGTGACCCTTTCTACAAAGTGTACAAAATTATAGCAAATGTGAACGATGCAAAGAGTACCCAATCTTTATCCATCACATTTAAGACAAGTGCATTTCTTATGGCTAAGAAAAACATTCCTTTGTATAACTACACCAATGGGGTGGTAAGGTACAGACGTGTGTACTCAGATGTATTGGACGAGAATAATAAAATAATAAATTATAACATTTTCAGCTGCCCAGAATATATTGAAATAGGAAGAGACGTTGAATGTGTCCAATTTGAAGTGAGCTGTTATTCCATCATCGCGTTGACATGCTCCTGCTGCATCACACTTTACAATGTTAATAACGAAGAGGAACAGATAAAGATAAACATACAAGCAAATGTTATGAAGCCCTACCCAAAAGATACCCTCCACTTGAAAATACTAAATAGAATGAAAAAAACAGTACAAATAGAAATCTACAACGACCTCAATTCCCCATGTGAATTTAAAGTGTATTCAGATTTGTCCATCCTGTTTGGTGTGAAGAAAATACAAATGCTTCCAAGACAGAGGAAGGCATATACGTTCTACGTCACAAGTGCACACATAGGAGAATATATGGGGTGCATCATTTTTAAGCTTCACAAGTTACTTCGTGCAGGTGGTGGAGAAGAAAAAACGAGGGATGCCTTCCTCCCATTTCAGAACTACTTCTTCTGGTATAAAATAAATATAACCGTTGAGTTGAATAAACCATTGAAGATTTTATTTTTGGAAACCAATGTAGGTGAGGAAGTTAAAAAAGAAATTGTTTTGAAAAATAATGGTAAAGAGAATGAGGATTATTTTTTGCTTGCCTACATGAATGAGTACATTGAGAGAAGACAGGTCCAGGTCCCCAAGAATGACATCTACGTGTATAGCATTAAGTACGCTCCGAAAATTCCAAACTATTTTAATGAAGGTCCTAATGGGGGAATTGCCCCTCAGGAGGTGAGTGGTTCTGGTGAGGACAAGAATTCAACCGTGCAGAGGGATCTCCAAAATTTTTACTTCCCCCCGAATGGCGACTCCGATTGGTGTAGCGGGCCCGGGGGGGAAATGTCCAGCTGCTATGGGGATGTGGAAAAGAGAGGAGGAGACGAATCTGATTACGTAGATAAAGACACACCGGAGATAGTATCCCCTAACCAAGGCGATGCACTCAAGCAGAAACATAAACCCTTTCCCCCAAATGAGAAAAAAATATTCGAAGAGCTGATCAGCTACTGCAAGAAGTACATTCAAGTAGATATTAGGTACAGGCCCCAAAACATAGGGTTCTTTTTTATATACAATAAAAATGAAGGAATCAATTATTACATCCTCATGTTGCTGTCTAGGTTTAGGCGAGAGTTGGAGGTGCAGAACTTCTCCACCTGTTTGTCCAAGTCCTGCTTCTTACATTTGCACATCGAGTTTAATGACCAGGACAAGCGATATGTGCAGCTGTTGGAAGGGATGGGGGACCCCCCCCGATCACAATTATCATTGTCATTATCATTATCAAATTGTGGAGGGGGGGAGGTGTCCCCGGGGGGGAAGAAATGCTTTAATAGGAGAGAGTTCCAAACGAGGCCATGTGCACACGTGTCGCTCTTACCAACCATATGATGATGAATGGGTGGAGGAGGTGCAAAGGGGAAATGCAAACAACTATGCAGGTGCCCCCATTTATAAGGACAACTCATGCAGTGAGATCGCAGCGGACCAGGTGAAGCATGAACTCAAATGTATTTACCTAAGCAATAGAAGTAACTTCTACATCATGAACCATAAAGATGTAAGTAGGGTTGTTCTAAAGTACAGGCCGACGGTGAGTATGTCCCAGGAATGCTACATCATCATTAGGAGCAACATGTACGGGGACTTCCTGTACCGGATCCATGGAACATACACAGTGAAGAGAAAAATAAAAGAAAAGATGGTCTTCTACAACTCTTGCTGTTTGTACAATTTTAATGTAAATCTGTTTAACCCCTTCAATTGTAAAGTAAGGGTAAAATGTAGGCTTAAGGGAGAGGAAGGCACAAAGCAGTTATGTAATAGAAGAGATGGTGTGCAGGGAGAGGAAGAGAAAAGTATGGATAGGCATTGCGTCACTTCGTTCCAAAAGGAGAGAATTATACTGAACAATGAAAGAAATTACTTAAAGATTATGAATAAAGAAAATTTTAAAATAAAAATGAGGAGACACTTTACCATGATGATGACGTACTTTTGCAAAGAGGTTTATTCTAGGACCACGGTACTCATAGTGATGAAGCCATTTCGCACGGATGAGACTCGTCGAGACGCTCCTCCGATTATTACCTACGAATACGATTTTGTGTTTAACAATTTGTTGAGGGGTGGCAGGATCCAGGATGCGGTGAAGTGCATTCACGCCGCGGGAGGAAATTTTACGAGGGGGCGTTCCGAAGGGGGCGATTCGGAAGATGACCCATCAGAAGAATCTGACTCGAGCCACACCTCACGCAGTCCCTCTACAGCCAGCGAACGAAGTCATTTCACTCTCAACGCAAGCGACTTGGGCACAGCGGACGTGTTGGACGGGGAGCTCAAATTGGAAGACGCATGTACAAGCCAATTGGAGAAGCACCACACGTGCTGCAGTGGCCCCGGCGATAAGGCGCTATGGTGTCCTAATCATTACGACGTAGGGCATGACGCGGGACGCGACGTAGAAAAAGACGTAACGCGCGAGAGAGTTCTCCCCTGTGCAGCGGACAATAACGAGGTGGTGCACTACGACGGGAAAATATTCATCGAATGCATGTGCAGAAAGAAGACGTGCGTACAGGTGCACATAGATAAGGCCAAGATGCGGGCAGGGGTAACTTCCCCCCAGGGTGTGGACCAAATGGAATGGAAGCAGCAGGAGAGGAATAATAATGTGCTCCACAGGAAGGTTCAAAGGGGAAAGTATAAATATAAAATATTTTTATTAAACGTGAAAAATGTACGTAAGAGCTTAGACAACGTTGAGGATGACGGTGGAGGTGCCACAGTCGGGATGGACGTAAAAATGAATACTCTCCTTTTCGATGTGAGTGAGGGACTGCTAAATGATTACCTGTACGTCCACATTGTGGAGGACACGGATGCGCATCTCGTGCTGACTTTGGACCTGCTGGCCTTTCTTCCCTTCCACTGCACCTTTGACATTTTGGTAAGCAGGACGGAGGGGGAGGAAGCAGTGCATGAAGGAGAAGAAAAAGAAGAAACGGACAAAGGAGTTGAGGAATCCTTCGCGGGAGAACCCCCCAGCAGACACACCACCCTTGACCAAAATCACATCAGCGTAGAAATATTAAACTGCATGAACGTGTCGAGACAGTACCTTAACATCAACGTGGATGAAAATTTATGTGGAGAGACAAAGCTTAACATTTTTTATAATCACACAAGGGACTCCTATTTCGACGCATATGTGGTTAGGCACAACGAGCTGAATAGCAGCGGGCACTTGAAGGATGACATTTTGAACTTTGAGGTCAAGCCTAAGTGTGGGATTTTGAAGCACGGCAGTTATAACAAATTCTTCATTACAAGAACGAACAAGAATGGAGCTTTATCATTTAACAAGTCCTTTTTGCTTTTAATTAAAACGGAGCGAAATGTCTTTTCGTACATGGTCTTTTGTCATTACAGGGCGGCACCCAGCAATGCGCTCGCCACGGTACGGGTCTTGCGGTTGAGGTGTTGAGCGGTGGACGAGCTTCCAACCACCGCCACCGCGCTATCCTCGAGTGTATCCCCACACTGGTGGGCTTACCGTGCGCATATGGACGCTGCTCAGGATAGCGACTCAACGGGTACCAATTGTCCATTCCTTCCCCTTCAGGAGGAGCATAATAAGATAAAGGAGATCCTCAACGAGAACAAGAAGAAGTTCAGCGTCCTCTTCAGTTCGTTCAAGCAGGTAGGAAAGGCGCTACGCAGTTGTGCAAAAGAGTGGTGCTGACGGGCGGTGCGCAGAGGAGGGGGAAAGGCACTTTCACATGTCGCACGCGCAAAACTCGCTCACATAAGAAAACACGCTCTCCCAACAATCGCGCAGGAAAAGAAAGAAAGTAGTATCTTCAACCAGAAGAACCAGATAATCATTGAAGACATTTCAAAGTCGACAAATGAAATCAGAAATGCCTAAATGGGATATGTGTGGAGATGTAATAACGCGTGTGTCTATGTCCGCATGCCCACTGCATGAGAGGAGGACTGTTCTGTCCGTGTGCCTCCAAGGTCAGTGTTTTTTTTTTTTTTTTTTTTTTTTTTTTTTATGCTCACGTTGCAATTTGCCGGTTTTTTTTTTTTTTTTTTTTTTTTTTTGTATGCTCACGTTGCACATTGCAGTGTTTATTTATTTTTATTTATATATATTTTTTTTTGCTTCAATGAAAATGTGCACAACTTCGACAAGGGCGTTAAACAAAGTTGTCGCTTTTGTGTTCAGTTAGGGGAAAAGACGCGGGATTTTCGCCACGTAAAAAATGCTCAAAGAAATGAGCGTGCAAAAAAAGGTGGAATATATATATATAGCCGTGCAAGGATGGGCTGCTCTTCGTTTCTTGTTTTATAAAATGGCACAAAAAAAAAAAAAAAAAAAAAAAGAGACCCATTTTGGGGTGGAATGAAACTTCACAAATAGAATGCACGCAGATCTGTGCTGCACGCGAAATGGCCCCACTTGTCTATTTCAACATGGGGTTGCCTGTTTAGCTTGTCAAAAAAAAAAAATTTTTTTTTTTGGTGGAGAAAATGCAGACTTTTTTTTTCGTCAACTCGACACTGCATACTTCATCCGTTTGGAGGTGCACACCACATCGTGTATATTACATGCGAGCGCTTTTTGGCTCCTCAAATAGGCTATTTAATTCGAACATGAGTCATGTGCATACATACATGTATATATGTGTGTGCTGGTGAAAGAGAGACGGGGCCAGGTATGCCCCCCATGCGAGTTGCCTAAGTGGCTACTGCTTGTCCCTTTTGTTCGCTGCCATGGGGAGGGTAACGGTCAATTTTGGCTGAAGGGATCCGAGCCGCTGTTCAAGTCGGGATGATCGTCGCCGAGGTTTGGGTTTCCATCCCCTCGATCGAACAGGTAGCTGTTGGAGGGGTTGGCGAAAGGATCGCCTTCGGGATGCCCATCTTTGTGGTGCCCCTCCTGCGCCTCATAACCACCCTTGTAGCTCCCCAGGCCGTACTCACCCTGCTTGCCATAGCCTTCATCCAACCTGTTCATATCCTCCGCATGAGAATCGTGGTTTCCATAGTTACAATTAGGAGGTAACTCATAGTTGGCGCTACTATCGTGATATTCGTCTTCGTATTTTATGTACTCATTTTTATGCTCATCGAAAAGGATATCAATGACATTGGAGTAATTGTTAAAGCAATTTTCATTTCCGTCTTGGTCGCTCGATCTGGCGGGTTCGTGCTGGTCACTCTGCACAGTTGTGCCATTGCCCCCATGGTCACGGTTACAGTTGCCCCGCTGGTGGTCCTCATCGTCCTCCTCTTCATCCTCGTAGTGGTAATTTCGATTCATGCACCGGTCAGAGTTTCCACTTGCGTCACCATTGATGAGATTTTGTTCCCGATTGTCTGCTGTAGTCCCCCCGACGTTGTTCATGTGGTGATGCGTCATGGAGTTATCCGCCTGGTTGCACAGACCATTCGAGATGATCTCTGCGTGGTCAGCCTCCTCTGCCCGCTTCTCATCCCCATAATTAACATCGTTAAAATATAAGGAGTAGTGGTTTAGTTCCTCAATTATAATGTCATTCCACCCTGAAACGGTTACAAGGAAGTTCGAAAGCCATTTTATCTCCAAAGACTTGTTACTCAGAATTTGGCAAATGTGAAGTAAATGTGCCTTATACCCACAATCTATTAAACTTTCAATTTTTTTTTTTCTTTTTTTATTTTTAATATTTCTGCACCGTCTAACAGCGTCAAAGTAACGTAAGCATTTGGGTAAAAACGTGGTCAAGGCTAAAATGTAATATAAAAGATAAGAATATTCATTTTCTTTAAAAATAATGGTCTGCATTAAGTCACACACAGAAATGTGTAACAAATTATTCCACTTGTACTTAAAAAATATATCAATGGAAATATCGAAGAAGCCTTCATCAATTATTTCTGTTAATATATTTTTGGACTTGGTTTTTATAAGTGTCTTTATTAATTGAATAATCTCCAAGGTAGTAAATCCTAACATATTTTTACTTTTATTTTTATTTATATTTTTTATATATAATTTTATAATGTCTTTTATATAACAAAAGAAGCACACATCTACGAAGGTGCCATTTTCGAGGTACTGTACCCATTTGTTTAAAGGGATATTTATATCTCCTTCCTTTTCGCATTCAAAGATTTGAAAATTTTGTTCTTCATTCGAACTTCCATTAGCAACTTTATCTCTACAGTTGTTTGATTCTATTCCAAATATATCCTCTTTTATTTTTTTTTTTTCATTACTTTGTGTACGATGGAGGAGTGAATTTTTTCCAATGCTAATAATATCTCCTCCATCTCCATCCTCCTTCACGTGTACCCGGTTGCTAGCTATTCTTTTCATTCTATTTAGAACATCTTCAAATTTTATTTTTTTCAGATGGTCATAATTTTCATCATCTGAGGAATCATATGAGGATGCATCTGACCCATACGAGAAACAATTATCATTGTCACTGTTTCTTTCATTCTTTGCATCCTTCACGTATTTTATTATTCCGTTACTCTTGTTATTATCCTCTCCCTGGGTGCCACTACCATACGTGTGCATGTTGGGCAGTTGGGCGAGGTCGTTCCTCTGATGTCCTCCAATTAGAAAGTCGGGGTTTTCCCTTCCCTCCTGGCTACCGTCCCCACATGAGTAGTAGTACGAAACTGCGTGCTTCTGCGCGAGGAGCGATTCGGCGTTTTGAGCATCTTCACCATTTTGCGCCTGTTCACCATTATTCTCACTGCCTCGTAATGGGTCCCATGAAAGAATGCTACCACTCCCATTCGAGATATCTACCCCGTCACCGACCAGATTGTGTGTCTCCCCCGTTTGAAGGTTTCCACTGTGGAAAACTCCCCCTCCAGTGGGATCCTCGCCATGTGGGGGGTGCTGTTGTTCCTCTGAGTGTAATTCATATTGCACACTGAACGGAGTGTCTCCCTCTGGTTCGAACTCTCCTTTGCTTAGCTCCTCCGTCATACCATGAAGAGTGTTATACTTTTTCTCTCCATCTGTTTCTCCCTGTGGGGTTATTCCAATTGTCTGCATTTCCTCCTTGATCTTTTTGTTCACATGGTTTGGCTGGTTTACCTCGTAAAAGTTTGAAGATAATTCTGTTGCACCTGAGTTAGCACTAACATTTGTGACAACCTTCCCTACTACCCCCCTGCCTGATACCTTACCTTCCTTCTCCCTTTCCAATTCGCTCTTTTCAATTTCTCTCTTTTCCTCCTCGGTGATATTATCTACATCAGGAGGAGTCTCTTCGTGTGAATAATTTCTAGGTGGGGTTGCAAATCCTGCCGGCATGCCCACAGAGGATGTTGCACCAAGCCCATACTGATCGAACACGTTGGAAGAAGTACCACCCATGAGTATCTCGTCCGACTCTCGCACCTGGTTAACACAACTAGCATGAGCCTTGGAAGTGTTATAAACGGCCTCTTCATCTATGACCTTATTTGATTTCCTTTTTTTTTTCTTCTTCTTCTTCTTCCTAGTAGTATACTTACACTCCTCCTCCATCTGTTTAAGTTGCTTGTTCTTCTGGTCCTGTTCCTTTGTGTACAAATCAAGGCATTCATAAAAGTCGATGGTGTTATAAGATTTCCCCAACACACTATAATGCAGCAGATCTGATATTATGGTGATGGCAGCAGAAATGGTATATGGACAATCTGAAAAAACGCATTTAATTAAATAAGAAAAGGATAACTGTGAAGATAAATCAATTAAAAAATAATTAAAATAATAAATTTCTGATTTTCGAACAAAGATATCTCTAATGAGACACGTAATATTATCCTCCCGATCACAAATTATAAAAGTTTCTTTTGAAAAATTTCCATTCAAATTGCTTAAAATGAAATAAATTATATCCTTATTGTCAAATATACAAAGGTAAGGCATTTTAACAAACAGCAACACCTTGAACAGCTCGGTTATATTTCTCGAGTAAAAATGATAAAGGAAGCCTTTTAAATAGAGTTCTTTTTTCCTCTTCAAAAAATTTACCACCTCTGTTGTATTTTTATTATAAATGGTTATCGCACATCTGCTAAAGTAACCTGATAAAACTTCATTCAGTTGATTTTTCTTCAGGACGAAACTCCAGAAGAGCTTCATTAACTTGTCGTTGTAGACTAGCGAATCTGTGATCAATTTATTTTCTGCATTTATTATTTGATGACACTTGTAAGGAAATTTGTACGACTTGTCGTAGCTACTTTTGTCTTCCGATTCCTCTGTAATGTATTTTATTATTTTTTTCAGGTTTTCCTCTTTAGATAAAAAATTTATTAGCTCATAATTCTCCGCCTTTATCTCCTGGAGCAGCCCTTCGTAGTTCAGCAGCCCGTCCAGATCGTTCTCCTCCAGGTGCTTGCTCACGTCCAGCGGCAGACACTCGCCCTTCAGCTTCCAGTACACCCCATTCTCCATCGTGCAGGGGCGCGGTCAACACAGCCAAGCGGTAGCGCGGCGCAGTAACGCGTTGAACCGAGGCAGCAACGCGGTGACAAGGGGGAGTAACACGGTAACGATAAACCTTGTGAGTGAACCCCTTCCCGCAGGTACCCCGCCAACTGTGTCAGTTATAACTACCTCGCGCAAACACACGCGTGTAACTTCACTTAATAAAAAAAAAAAAAACACTACGCAGGGATTCCCCCTGTTCAGAAGAAACATTCCTCTGGTTAATTTTTCCACGCATATGAACTCACCGTTCGGTTAACGCATACGGCTCTGCTGCGTGATAAAAAAAAAAAAAAAAAAAAAAAAAAGGGGGGAAAAAAAAAAAAAAAAAAAAAAAAAAAAAAAAAAAAAAAAAAAAAAAGTCAGAAGGGCTTCACTACAGTGTGCACACATAGACAGGTAGGATATGTCACCCCCTTTTTATGTACGCCCTACTAAGGGACTCCTATTTTCACACTTCCCCTTTACACTGCATATATATACGTTTCTCCCCCACAGCGGCGTAAAATTTTTCCGAAGGGGTACCTTCCCACTTGCGTGTTCTCATCCTATTGCACGCAACGGGGGAAAAGAAGCAAAACAAACAAACAAAACAAATGCACAGTCAAATGTGTACATGCAAAACACGCATGGTCAATAAAAAAAATGGGTCTTCTTTAATGAGACCAATAAAAAGTGCCATGGAGAAGAAGCACATTTCTCAGTAACAATTCGCGCAGTTGCGTTTCTGCGTGGAAAAGTTCAAAATGGAAAATAACACAAATTAACGTGGGTGGAAGGAGGCACGCACACGATGGGGGAGGTGACAGGGGTGCGATGTGCGCGTTAGGTAGACATGTACACCATCTCGCGGTACCTCGTCTGCTCGCACTGCTCTGCTTTCTCCTGCGTGAGGAGACTCTCTGCTTAGCGCCCTGTCGGCGATGTAATAAAATGGGCTCCTCCAGTTGAGATGACGAACGGGGAAGAAAAACCCTTTTTAAACGTACTCATACATGTGTAAAAAAAAAAAAAAGAAACACTAAATAATGCCACGAGACAGGCTATTCAAATGACACATACGATTTGCCACCCCCCCCTGGACAACAATATCTGTTGCAACATCCGGGCGGGCACGCAAACAGGATGGCATGCACAGAGTGGGGGGTCGCTCTGTTGATGCTTGAACTTTTAAATTTAGTTCACGTTGAGGCATCACCTGGGATACATGCAGGTACCAATGGGGCATTCCCCTATGCACATTTGTACAAACGCTTGTCTCAGCACATAGCTGCTGTTGGTGTCGCAAATATTACCACATGTGGGAGTGTTAGGGAATTGCACTTCAGGCAACGAGGAACACTTTTAAAGGGGCAAGCAAGGCACATAAAAAAAAAAATACAAAATAAACAACAAAAATACATTCCGCACAAACAACATGGAGTGCCTTTTCCCCCAGGATAACACTACACGCGCGATGAAAGAGAAAAGCTGGGTCTCTGTTAAAAGTCGCCGCACAACGCTACGCACAAATGAATGGTTCCAAGGGTGTTCCCCCTTCTTCTGATTCTATTTTGTAGCTGTGCGAGGTAAACAGCTTGCACTTCACCAAATGAGAAAGGAAAAAAATGAAAATTAAGAAAATAACAAAATATAAAATGGGGGTACAAGTTAAAAAAAAAAAAAAAAAAAAAAAAA